CTATAGTCTAGTCTAGTAGTCTAGTCTATAGTCTAGTCTATAGTCTCGTCTATAGTCTAGTCTATAGTCTAGTCTATAGTCTAGTCTATAAGTCTAGTCTTTATAGTCTAGTCTATAGTCTAGTCTATAGTCTAGTCTATAGTCTAGTCTATAGTCTAGTCTATAGTCTAGTCTATAGTCTAGTCTATAGTCTAGTCTATAGTCTAGTCTATAGGTCTAGTCTATAGTCTAGTCTATAGTCTAGTCTATAGTCTAGTCTATAGTCTATAGTCTAGTCTATAGTCTAGTCTATAGTCTAGTCTATAGTCTAGTCTATAGTCTAGTCTATAGTCTAGTCTATAGTCTAGTCTATAGTCTAGTCTATAGTCCAGTCTATAGTCTAGTCTATAGTCTAGTCTATAGTCTAGTCTATAGTCTAGTCTATAGTCCAGTCTATAGTCTAGTCTATAGTCTAGTCTATAGTCTAGTCTATAGTCTAGTCTATAGTCTAGTCTATAGTCCAGTCTATAGTCTAGTCTATAGTCTAGTCTATAGTCTAGTCTATAGTCTAGTCTATAGTCTAGTCTATAGTCTAGTCTATAGTCTAGTCTATAGTCTGGTCTATAGTCTAGTCTATAGTCTAGTCTATAGTCTAGTCTATAGTCTAGTCTATAGTCTAGTCTATAGTCTAGTCTATAGTCTAGTCTATAGTCTAGTCTATAGTCTAGTCTATAGTTTAGTCTATAGTCTAGTCTATAGTCTAGTCTATAGTCTAGTCTATAGTCTAGTCTATAGTCTAGTCTATAGTCTAGTCTATAGTCTAGTCTATAGTCTAGTCTATAGTCTAGTCTATAGTCTAGTCTATAGTCTAGTCTATAGTCTAGTCTATAGTCTAGTCTATAGTCTAGTCTATAGTCTAGTCTATAGTCTAGTCTATAGTCTAGTCTATAGTCTAGTCTATAGTCTAGTCTATAGTCTAGTCTATAGTCTAGTCTATAGTCTAGTCTATAGTCTAGTCTATAGTCTAGTCTATAGTCTAGTCTATAGTCTAGTCTATAGTCTAGTCTATAGTCTAGTCTATAGTCTAGTCTATAGTCTAGTCTATAGTCTAGTCTATAGTCTAGTCTATAGTCTAGTCTATAGTCTAGTCTATAGTCTAGTCTATAGTCTAGTCTATAGTCTAGTCTATAGTCTAGTCTATAGTCTAGTCTATAGTCTAGTCTATAGTCTAGTCTATAGTCTAGTCTATAGTCTAGTCTATAGTCTAGTCTATAGTCTAGTCTATAGTCTAGTCTATAGTCTAGTCTATAGTCTAGTCTATAGTCTAGTCTATAGTCTAGTCTATAGTCTAGTATCTAGTCTAGTCTATAGTCTAGTCTATAGTCTAGTCTATAGTCTAGTCTATAGTAGTCTATAGTTAGTCTATAGTCTAGTCTATAGTTAGTCTATAGTCTAGTCTATAGTCTAGTCTATAGTCTAGTCTATAGTCTAGTCTATAGTCTAGTCTATAGTCTAGTCTATAGTCTAGTCTGGTCTTTAATATAGTCTGTAGTCAAGTTATAGTCTAGTCTATAATCTAGTGTATACTTCATCCTATATTCTAGTCTATAGTCTAGTCTAGTCTTAGTCTAGTCTGTAGTCAAGTTTATAGTCAAGTCTTTTAGTCTAGTTATAGTCTAGGGTATAGTTTAGTCTATAGTCTATTGTATAGTTTAGTCTATGGTCTAAGTTATAACCTAGTGTAGTTTCTAGGTTATTACTCTTTTTTGTCATTTTGTTAAAAAAACAAATAAAGCACTTAAAAATTTTTCATTGCAGAACACTTGGCGTATGATTAATATATATTTCTTTATAAATAATCATACGTCTTCGTTGCCCACAACAAGTATAAACTTTTGAATGTATGTATGTACATTAATTTGTACATTCATTGTGATTTTTGCAATTTCATTAACACTGCATACAATTCACACATAAAATGTTACGGAAAAAAGCAGAAAGGAAAACACAAATATGAAAGGAAGCAAAAAGAAAGAAAACAAAACACTTACAGGAACTTGCATTTAAAATCATTTATATTTTCTTAAACAGTTTAAGGTTTAACAATATCCATTTATGTACAATTGTTTGCTTTTTATTATTGTTTTCTATTTTTTTTTTTGTCTCTTGTTTAAGGCCTTTCTTGACATAATGCAATAAGAACAAATAAACGAGAATTGTAACAATAAAAACTTGTTAACCTAGTTTTTCTTTATAAATATATTTTCTTTTTTTATTCTTAAGAAATTGATATTATTGTTGTATTTGTGTCTACATAAATGTGGTTGTGTTAATAAAAGTATGCTCTTTATATGAAAGATATTAATTGTGCTTTACCTTAGACATATAAGGATATTGAAGGGCAAAGCTTACATGCCACGCCCCTTTCTATGCCTTTTTATCGAAAACAACGGTTATGAGAATTTGTGTAACAAAACAAGACAAAAAACGGTATAATTTGGTAAATTATGTTAATTAGTTTTGAACGTTAATGCTGCTTGCAAACTAACCAGAGTTCCGATTTTTTATTGACTAATTTCATGGTTTATATAATCATGCTAGCACCCTTAATTCCCACATAAGCCTCCTTTAATTCAGGTTTCATTCTCACTCATCATTGCATGTTTTTCATTCGTATTTAATACATGAAGCAAAAACAACAATTATAAAATAGAAACGTCACAAGGTAACTTGACAACAACAAATGCAGCAAAAAACACTACACTACGGTAGTAATTTATTTATACATATTGTTGTACAAAAACAAATTACAACAAAAACATATTAAAAACAAGAAGAAATAAATGCATTCAGGCGCGAGTGCAGTGCCCTCATCATAATTACAAGGACATTGTCGTCGCCATTATTATCCTGGTGTAGTGTTTATAGTGAGTACTTGTTTGTGTCAGTGTTTGCATTGTTGTGGAATTTTTTATCACATTACTTGCATGTGTATGTTTTTTTTTTTTTTTTTTTTCATTTGATACTCAGTTTTAAACTTTTGATTGATGTTTTCATGTGATAAGTTGACCTAGACAGATTGCACTTTTGAAAAATATGAGATATTTTGTTATGATATGTTTGTTAAGTCGAAGTATAAGACATTTACATAAAGATATTAATCGTTTATTTTAGGTTTATTACGCTCATTTTTAGCAAACTAAATTCCTACAATAAACCGTCTACAACTTTATTAAGCATTTACGAATATGTGAGTTAATCTGTTCCAAAATTGGTTCTAGTACAGTTCTAGTTTAGTTCTAGTTCAGTTCTAGTTCAGTTCTTGTTCAGTTCTAGTTCAGTTCTAGTTCAGTTCTAGTTCAGTTCTAGTTCAGTTCTAGTTCAGTTCTAGTTCAGTTAGTTCAGTTCTTGTTCAGTTCTAGTTCAGTTCTAGTTCAGTTCTAGTTCAGTTCTAGTTCAGTTCTAGTTCAGTTCTAGTTCAGTTCTAGTTCAGTTCTAGTTCAGTTCTAGTTCAGTTCTAGTTCAGTTCTAGTTCAGTTCTAGTTCAGTTCTAGTTCAGTTCTAGTTCAGTTCTAGTTCAGTTCTAGTTCAGTTCTAGTTCAGTTCTAGTTCAGTTCTAGTTCAGTTCTAGTTCAGTTCTAGTTCAGTTCTAGTTCAGTTCTAGTTCAGTTCTAGTTCAGTTCTAGTTCAGTTCTAGTTCAGTTCTAGTTCAGTTCTAGTTCAGTTCTAGTTCAGTTCTAGTTCAGTTCTAGTTCAGTTCTAGTTCAGTTCTAGTTCAGTTCTAGTTCAGTTCTAGTTCAGTTCTAGTTCAGTTCTAGTTCAGTTCTAGTTCAGTTCTAGTTCAGTTCTAGTTCAGTTCTAGTTCAGTTCTAGTTCAGTTCTAGTTCAGTTCTAGTTCAGTTCTAGTTCAGTTCTAGTTCAGTTCTAGTTCAGTTCTAGTTCAGTTCTAGTTCAGTTCTAGTTCAGTTCTAGTTCAGTTCTAGTTCAGTTCTAGTTCAGTTCTAGTTCAGTTCTAGTTCAGTTCTAGTTCAGTTCTAGTTCAGTTCTAGTTCAGTTCTAGTTCAGTTCTAGTTCAGTTCTAGTTCAGTTCTAGTTCAGTTCTAGTTCAGTTCTAGTTCAGTTCTAGTTCAGTTCTAGTTCAGTTCTAGTTCAGTTCTAGTTCAGTTCTAGTTCAGTTCTAGTTCAGTTCTAGTTCAGTTCTAGTTCAGTTCTAGTTCAGTTCTAGTTCAGTTCTAGTTCAGTTCTAGTTCAGTTCTAGTTCAGTTCTAGTTCAGTTCTAGTTCAGTTCTAGTTCAGTTCTAGTTCAGTTCTAGTTCAGTTCTAGTTCAGTTCTAGTTCAGTTCTAGTTCAGTTCTAGTTCAGTTCTAGTTCAGTTCTAGTTCAGTTCTAGTTCAGTTCTAGTTCAGTTCTAGTTCAGTTCTAGTTCAGTTCTAGTTCAGTTCTAGTTCAGTTCTAGTTCAGTTCTAGTTCAGTTCTAGTTCAGTTCTAGTTCAGTTCTAGTTCAGTTCTAGTTCAGTTCTAGTTCAGTTCTAGTTCAGTTCTAGTTCAGTTCTAGTTCAGTTCTAGTTCATTTCTAGTTCAGTTCTAGTTCAGTTCTAGTTCAGTTCTAGTTCAGTTCTAGTTCAGTTCTAGTTCAGTTCTAGTTCAGTTCTAGTTCAGTTCTAGTTCAGTTCTAGTTCAGTTCTAGTTCAGTTCTAGTTCAGTTCTAGTTCAGTTCTAGTTCAGTTCTAGTTCAGTTCTAGTTCAGTTCTAGTTCAGTTCTAGTTCAGTTCTAGTTCAGTTCTAGTTCAGTTCTAGTTCAGTTCTAGTTCAGTTCTTCAGTTCTAGTTCAGTTCTAGTTTCAGTTCTAGTTAAGTTCTAGTCAGTTCTAGTTCAGTACAGTTCAGTGCTAGTTAAGTTTCTAATTCAGTTCTTCTCAGTTCTAGCTCAGTATTCATTCAGTTCTAGTCAGTTCTAATTCGTGATATTCATATCAGTTGTTCTAATTAAGATCTAATTGTTATTAATAATAAATATATTACCTTGAGTTTTGATTCCTATTAAGAGCAGCAATAGAACGTGTTGTTGTCTTAGAACCTCAGAATGTTTACACATTATTTTTGAAGTTTTATTTTTATAATTCAATTTTATTATAGAATTTATAAAACAAAACACTAATTTTTATTATACAAATAATTCAAAAAACCACACACTTTTAATTTTTTTTATTTATAAAATATATATTTTTTGTTTTATTTTTAAATATGCAAATATTTATTTAGAGAATATACTACATACATGCATATATACATATGTATGTATACACGTTTATAGGTATTTAGTATTATAACTTTTATTAAATGTTTACCGGATCTTTATTAATAAATATATGAAACCATGTCCATAATGATTAGTATTATGAATTTTTAAACAAAAAAGATAAAACACAAAATGAATATTTAACATATGCATGATATATTATAAATTGCGCGCAATAAATAATTATTTGATTTATAAACAACAACAAAAATTTTTGATAGAATTGTATGAAATTTTAAAATTTAAAAGAAAAATATAAATAAAACTATAACATAAGAAAAGGTGAAATAATTTTTAAACGCTTGTTAATTTATGTCGATTTAAACGTCAGACAAATTAAATTAGTATTTAGATAATTAAAAATTTAATTATATTAGTAATTAAAAATTCGAAATTTGTTTTAATACGAAAACTTTATCATTCAGTAAGATGCATAATAGAAGGAAAATTTTTTGAATACTGAATTTTTATTAATTTTGCCATTAGCTCCGTAATTTATGAAACGATTTTTTAATGTCAAAATTCCCGAAAGCATGTATAATAAAAAACTATAATGATTTGGATTCCAAAATTGTTTGAGGTCTTCAGAAAAAAGATTTTAGTACACATACGAACATACAGAATATAGGATCGGATAGAAAGAAGTATTGAAGGTTTGGATTCCAAAGATTTGGATTCTTCTTTCGAAATCAATTATACCGAAAAAAACGGATTCCTGACTTGAATTTTCCAGAAATATTTATAATTTTTAACACTAAAATATGCTATATCCGAAATCCTGAATTTTTCCTCAATATGAGGACTTGGTCTATTTATATGAACGGTTTAATTTAAAATTTCCCAAAGATTTAACTCGAGTTTAACTCAAAATCTCAAACTTTTCAGAAAATGTATAAACGTTAAAATTTTTTTTACTACACAATTAACATAATAAACCTTAAGTTAAAAAAAAAAAAAAAATTATAAAAAAACGGCAAATAGAACACACACGCGACTTTTTAGTTCAGTGTAACGTTAATTTTTAAAGTGTTAATTATTCAACATATATTTAGTTAGTAGTGGTTTTTGTTTGTGTTGTAGTATATGCATATAATTTTCTATATAGTATAATTTTTTTAAACCGTTGGGGTGTTTGACCTATAACTGTATTTAATGGCAATTTTCACGTTCACACACGAACACAAACTTAATAATACATATACATACAAACATACATATGTATGTATGTACATTTAAGAAATGCGGTCAAATTGCAGTTTTCAAGTATACTTAAATTCTTTTTTTTCTAACACTTGAACACTTTTTTTAATTTTTCTATTCTCTAAAAACTTTTAAAATTTCTTTTTATTACAATAAATAGTATAATTTTCTTTATTATATAAAATCAAATTTAAAAAAAACCTTGAACAGTTGTAATTTTATTAATTTTCAATTTCTTATTGTATTTTTTTTAATTTGTCTTAATATTTTATACACATGGTAAGAGTGTGTTGTGTGTTTAGCAATAGTTTTTTCCCGGTTTTAAATTTTTATTCCGTTATTTTCGTGCGTCTTCCTGAACAGAGTAATTGCACTAAACTAAACGTTGTGCGCTGCTGCTCCATCAAATTATTCCTTGGGCCAACATAAATTTAAAATGAAATACCGTTATTTACTCCCTCTCTTTATTTACACACACATACACAAATTTTCGGTTTCAGACAAAGGCTAAAAAACTGCAATGTATATAGGGGTCATCCAAAAACGAGAAGATTTTTGTTCGAAATCTAACTTTCAGGACTCATTCATTATAACGCAATAGAATGAACTACAACTGAACTACACTGAACTAGAACTGACTAGAATGAACTAAACTGAACTAGAACTGAACTAGAACGAACTAGAACTGAACTAGAACTGAACTAGAACTGAACTAGAACTGAACTAGAACTGAACTAGAACTGAACTAGAACTGAACTAGAACTGAACTAGAACTGAACTAGAACTGAACTAGAACTGAAACTAGAACTGAACTAGAACTGAACGAGAACTGAACTAGAAACTGAACTACTGAAATAGAACTGAATAGAACTGAACTAGAACTGAACTAGAACTGAACTAGAACTGAACTAGAACTGAACTAGAACGAAACTGAGAACTAGAACTATGCTGAAACTGAACTGAACTGCTGAACTAGCTGAACTAGAACTGAACTATGCTGAACTAGAACTGAACTAGAACTGAACTAGAACTGAACTAGAACTGAACTAGAACTGAACTAGAACTGAACTAGAACTGAACTAGAACTGAACTAGAACTGAACTAGAACTGAACTAGAATGAACTAGAACTGACTAGAACGGAACTAGAACTGAACTAGAACTGAACTAGAACTGAACTAGAACTGAACTAGAACTGAACTAGAACTGAACTAGAACTGAACTGAACTGAACTAGAACTGAACTAGAACTGAACTAGAACTGAACTAGAACTGAACTAGAACTGAACTAGAACTGAACTAGAACTGAACTAGAACTGAACTAGAACTGAACTAGAACTGAACTAGAACTGAACTAGAACTGAACTAGAACTGAACTAGAAACTGAACTAGAACTGAACTAGAAACTGAACTAGAACTGAACTAGAACTGAACTAGAACTGAACTAGAACTGAACTAGAAACTGAAAGAACTAGAACTGAACTAGAACTGAACTAGAACTGAACTAGAACTGAACTAGAACTGAACTAGAACTGAACTAGAACTGACAGAACTGAACTAGAACTGAACTAACTGAACTAGAACTGAACTAGAACTGAACTGAAATGAACTGAACTGAACTAGAACTGAACTAGACTGAACTAGAACTGAACTAGAACTGAACTAGAACTGAACTAGAAACTGAACTAGAACTGAACTAGAACTGAACTAGAACTGAACTAGAACTGAACTAGACTGAACTAGAACTGAACTAGAACTGAACTAGAACTGAACTAAACTGAACTGGAACTGAACTAGAACTGAACTAGAACTGAACTAGAACTGAACTAGAACTGAACTAGAACTGAACTAGAACTGAACTAGAACTGAACTAGAACTGAACTAGGAACTGAACTAGAACTGAACTAGAACTGAACTAGAACTGAACTAGAACTGAACTAGAACTGAACTAGAACTGAACTAGAACTGAACTAGAACTGAACTAGAACTGAACTAGAACTGAACTAGAACTGAACTAGAACTGAACTAGAACTGAACTAGAACTGAACTAGAACTGAACTAGAACTGAACTAGAACTGAACTAGAACTGAACTCGAACTGAACTAGAACTGAACTAGAACTGAACTAGAACTGAACTAGAACTGAACTAGAACTGAACTAAAACTGAACTAGAACTGAACTAGAAATGAACTAGAACTAAACTAGAGCTGAACTAGAACTGAACTAGAACTGAACTAGAACTGAACTAGAACTGAACTAGAACTGAACTAGAACTGAACTAGAACTGAACTAGACTGAACTAGAACGAACTAGAACTGAACTAGAACTGAACCTGAGAACTGAACTAGAACTGAACTAGAACTGAACTAGAACTGAACTAGAACTGAACTAGAACTAACTGAACTACTAGAACTGAACTAGAACTGAACTAGAACTGAACTAGAAACTGAACTGATAGAACTGAACTAGAACTGAACTAGAACTGAACTAGAACTGAACTAGAACGGACTAGAACTGAACTAGAACTGAACTAGAAACTAGACACTAGAACTGAACTAGAAGAACTAGAACTAGAACCGAACTAGAGCGAACTAGAACTGAACTAGAACTGAACTAGAAATGAACTAGAACTGAAACTAGAACTGAACTAGAACTGAACTAGAACTGAACTAGAACTGAACTAGAACTAAACTAGAACTGAACTAGAACTGAACTAGAACTGAACTAGAACTGAACTAGAACTGAACTAGAACTGAACTACTGTAATAGAACTGAACTAGAACTGAACTAGAACTAAACTAGAACTAAACTAGAACTGAACTAGAACTGAACTAGAAGCTGAACTAGAACTGAACTAGAACTGAACTAGAAATGAACTAGAACTGAACTAGAACTGAACTAGAACTGAACTAGAAATGAACTAGAACTGAACTAGAACTGAACTAGAACTGAACTAGAACTGAACTAGAACTGAACTAGAACTAAACTAGAACTGAACTAGAACTGAACTAGAACTGTAATAGAACTGAACTAGAACTGAAACTAGAACTGAACTGAACTAGAACTAGAACTAAACTAGAACTAAACTAGAACTGAACTAGAACTGAACTAGAACTGAACTAGAACTGAACTAGAACTGAACTAGAACTGAACTAAACTAGAATTGAACTCGAAAGTATCCATCAAAATTAAAAAATTTCTTCAAATATGGGGTTTACCCCTAATCTTCAATACATATTTATATTGAGTGCATTTTTTACACTATAAAACTAGCGAGAAAATCCTTCGTCTTCATTCAAAAGAGAGTTAACAAAATACCTTAAATGAGAGAGAAAGTTTAGTGTAATTTATAGTAGTTGTATTTCGAATAATATATGCATTTTCCTATCTGAATCACGTGTATTTTATTAATGAAAATCTTTTTTACTCGATGTTGTTGTTGGTTTTTGCTATTACTTTATAAAGTGTAAAATGTTTTTTTTTTTTGTTTACGTTTTATCGGATTGTATTTTTTCGGATAAATCATTGTAGTAAAATTAAAATTATTGTGAGTGATTTTGTTGTAACAGAATTTTACTCAAAACATTTTTGGAGTGAATTTTTTATAGAGTAGAGAAAAGGTTAATGACCTTAAATGTTTAGAAGTGTATGTTTGGGTATGTGTTGAAAGGGTACAACTTGCATTTATATGTAAAAGTGCAAGTGTTAAGGGATTTTTGTAGTGCATATTATGTAAATAATATTTTTATTCGGAATTATATTGGATTTGAAGTTTTCAATCATTAATTATTTTACTTTAAAATTAAGTGTTTTTTTGTAAATGGGAAAATATTTATATTTACTTTAACTAAATAAATCAGAAATGAATGATTAAAATTAGATTTTTGAAATGAAAAAGTTTATGTGATTTTAAAATATCACAGTATTATAATATTGCAGAACATACTTGTTTTAAATACATATTTCCTAAGAAAATTTGAATACCCGCCAATCGTATTTGCTCATAATGCGGTAAGAAAGGCCAAACCAGTGTCCCTTCTTAAACTATTTCGAAATTAATATATTTGTACAAGTATCCCAATAAAATTGGGAAATTCCGATTTTAAATTTATTTATTTTGCATTACCAAACTAATATTTGCACAATATACGTACGTGAGACAAGTGCTACAACAGGTAAAATTTTCAATACCTAAAAGGAAAATCCAATTTTAGGCACAGGTGAATCTACCTGTTATACCTGTCAGTGAGCAAAGAAATTCCGTATATAAGAAGGGAAATTTACAAACTCAACATCAGTTTACATTGGTAATCTTTGTAGTCACTACTTAAAAATTTCCAAATTTTAAAAGCGGTTTCATCTCAATTTTTAACTAAACCCAACTACCACAACATGGCCACTGTACAACAATTTTTAGACAATTCTTTTAAACAATAAATCTCAATCGAATTTGGAACAAGCTGCCAACGCTCCCTCCAATATTATACCCTATATGCTGTTTGTGTATCGCGAAGAATTGCGCCGTCTTAACAAGAATGCTCATTCAATGAAACTTTCGAAAAGTAAATTACATTTAACTCAAGAATTGGTCTCCTATTCGGTAGATCGTATTACGGAATACGATATGCAAGAGCTGATGAATATTAACCGCCAAATTTCGTTACACGTAAATTGAAGAGTCACATGGATCATATGAAACAATGCAAAAATACCGCTCAATGCAGGCTCAGGTGGTAAATAGAAGCTAAGAATTGGATGGACGATTATGATCGTGAAAGATTTTTGTGTAAACGTAGCAGGATGTTTAACATCATTAAGTAATTTTAGTATTGTTATTTTGTATTAAGATGATGTAGTATATTAGCATAGAAATAAATAAATTTTAGTGATAAAATATTAAAAATTTCGTGATTTTTTTCTTGTATGGACATATCATGACAGCATTGTCTGATCGAAACTATGTATAAGTGGATCTGATGATCTTGAAATACATAAGTCCTTAAATAGCAAAATTCCTTTTTGTAGCACAATTCCGCTTGCTTTAACGTTATATGAGCGATCATTAAGTAGAGGTTTCCAATGGAATTTATTGACCCTAAAATGAGCTAGAACTTAACTTGACTAGAGCTACATAGAACTCAATAAAAACTAAAATTTTCGTTATTTTTTTCTTTTATGGACGTATCATGACAGCTTTGTCTGATCGAAACTATGTATAAGTGGATCTGATGATCTTGAAATACATATGTTCTTAAATAGCAAAATTCCTTTTTGTAGCACAATTCCGCTTGCTTTAACGTTATATGAGCGATCATTAAATAGAGGTTTCAAATGAAATTTATTGACCCTAAAGTGAGCTAGAACTGAACTTGACTAGAGCTACATAGCACTCAATAAAAACTAAACTAGAACAGAACAATAACTGAACCGGAACTGGTCTAGAACTAAACTATACAATAACTGAACTAGAACTCTACTAGAAATGAACTAGAACTAAACTGGAACAGAACTTGAACTAAACTAAAACTGGTCTAGAATGAACTAGAACTGAACAAAAACTGAACTAGAACTGCTTTAGAACTAAACTTGAACTGAACTAAAGCTGAACTGGAACTGTTCTAGAACTGAACTAGAACTGAACTAGAACTGAACTAGAACTGAACTAGAACTGAACTAGACTGACTAGAACTGAACTAGAACTGAACTAGAACTGAACTAGAACTGAACTAGAACTGAACTAGAACTGAACTAGAACTGAACTAGAACTGAACTAGAAGAAACTGAACTAGAACTGAACTAGAACTGAACTAGAACTGAACTAGAACTAACTAGAACTGAACTAGAATGAACTAGAACTGAACTAGAACTGAACTAGAACTGAACTAGAACTGAACTAGAACTGAACTATAACTGAACTAGAACTGAACTAGAACTGAACTAGAACTGAACTAGAACTGAACTAGAACTGAACTAGAACTGAACTAGAACTGAACTAGAACTGACTAGAACTGAACTAGAACTGAACTAGAACTGAACTAGAACTGAACTAGAACTGAACTAGAACTGAACTAAAGCTGAACTGGAAAGTTCTAGATCTGAACTAGAACTGAACTAGAACTGAACTAGAACTGAACTGAAAAACTAGAACTGAACTAGAACTGAACTAGAAACTGAACTAGAACTGAACTAGAACTGAACTAGAACTGAACTAGAACTGAACTAGAACTGACTAGAACTGAACTAGAACTGAACTAGAACTGAACTGAACTGAACTAGAACTGAACTAGAACTGAACTAGAACTGAACTAGAACTGAACTAGAACTGAACTAGAACTGAACTAGAACTGAACTAGAACTGAACTAGAACTGAACTAGAACTGAACTAGAACTGAACTAGAACTGAACTAGAACTGAACTAGAACTGAACTAGAACTGAACTAGAACTGAACTAGAACTGAACTAGAACTGAACTAGAACTGAACTAGAACTGAACTAGAACTGAACTAGAACTGAACTAGAACTGAACTAGAACTGAACTAGAACTGAACTAGAACTGAACTAGAACGAACTAGAACTGAACTATAACTGAACTAGAACTGAACTAGAACTGACTAGAACTGAACTAGAACTGAACTAGAACTGAACTAGAACTGAACTAGAACTGAACTAGAACTGAACTAGACTGAACTAGAACTGAACTAGAACTGAACTAGAACTGAACTAGAACTGAACTAGAACTGAACTAGAACTGAACTAGAACTGAACTAGAACTGAACTGACTAGAACTGAACTAGAACTGAACTAGAAGCTGAACTAGAACTGAACTAGAACTGAACTAGAACTGAACTAGAACTGAACTAGAACTGAACTAGACGAACTGAACTAGAACTGAACTAGAACTGAACTAGAACTGAACTAGAACTGAACTAGAACTGAACTAGAACGAACTAGAACTGAACTAGAACTGACTAGAACTGAACTAGAACTGAACTAAACTGACTAGAACTGAACTAGAACTGAACTAGAACTGAACTAGACTGAACTATAACTGACTAGAACTGAACTAGAACTGAACTAGAACTGAACTAGAACTGAACTAGAACTGAACTAGAACTGAACTAGAACTGAACTAGAACTGAACTAGAACTGAACTAGAACTGAACTAGAACTGAACTAGAACTGAACTAGAACTGAACTAGAACTGACTAGAACTGAACTAGAACTGAACTACTGAACTAGAACTGAACTAGAACTGAACTAGAACTGAACTAGAACTGAACTAGAACTGAACTAGAACTGAACTAGAACTGAACTAGAACTGAACTAGAAGAACTGAACTAGAACTGAACTAGAACTGAACTAGAACTGAACTAGAACTGAACCAGAACTGAACTAGAACTGAACTAGAACTGAACCAGAACTGAACTAGAACTGAACTAGAACTTTACTCAAATAACTAGGGATAGCCTATGTGATATGTTAAATAACCAGGAAAGAAGAGCTTCCTCAAAAGCAGATTTGTAAGGCATACTGCTACCACATCTCTTGAAAGATTACATGATTTTTTATAAAGGATTCCTCGCTTAGAGGCTCTGCATATGGAATCCAAATACTTATTCACACCTTCGAAATTAACCTGATTTCTTCGAATAGCTATACCAGCTATAGTTTAAGGTTGTATTGCTGGGAGTATTTAGAAAAGATTTGAATAATGTTGTATATCAAAATATTTAAAAACGTTTATAGACTCGTTTGAACAACGCTCATTGGTCCTATATACTTCGAACAAAGTGGAAACTACTGCGATCAACTATTTAAACTTTACGAGGATCGTAGCTTCTTAAGTAGCTGGGTATAACCAGATAACTAGATGTTTTACCATGTGCTTGTTCTAAAAGGAAGGTTACAAAGAAAAAGTTAGATAGCCCCAAGTCCAAAAGAGTTAATATGTAAGGAAACTTTTCGCTTAAATTTTTTGTATACTCTCTAGATTATTTGGAACGGTAAAGTGAAGGGAGCACTAAAGTGACGTCTGAAGAAAGACGGGTTATACTAGCAAATTTGTTTTAAGTTAATGAATTTCCCAATAAAAAAAAGGTTTACATATCTTGTTAATTTTACTTATTCTTACATTTATTTATCTATAATATCATCTTAATAAACTAGTTAACAACACTAAAAATACTTATTAATGATGTTAAACATCCAGAGCTAAAATTAAAATATTTCATATTCCTTTATAAAGTTCATCCAATCCAGTTAAAACTCAAATTCTAGCCAACACCTGAGCCTGCAATGATCGATATCTTTGCATTTGTTTCATATGATCCATGCGATTCTTCAGTTGACGTGTAAAATTGATTTCACGATTAATGTTCATCAACTCCTGCATATCGTATTCCGTTATACGATCCACCGAATACGATACCAATTCCTGGGTCAAATGTAATTTACTTTTCGAAAGTTTTAAAGAGTGTGAATGCTTGTTGAGACGACGCAATTCTTCACGATACACAAACAGCATATAGGGTATAATGTTGGTGGAGGAGTTGGCTGTTTGTTCCATATTAGTTTGGGATTGATTGTTGAAGGAATTGTCTAAATATTGTTGCATTGTGGCCATGTTAATGATTTAAGAGTTTGCAAATATATAGTTAAGTATTGACTATTGAGATTAACACAGTAAACTGATGCTTGACTTTAGAAATTTTCCGCTATTTATACAGGATTTTACTTTTCGCCTAGCGCCAGGTAGGTAAACAGATATGCTGGGGGTTTTTTAAGGTAATTTCGTAATTTTTTAAAATTGTACCTGTTAAATGTTAAAGCATTTTCTGGGCGTAGATTATTGTGCAAAAGTGAGTGTTGAACTTTACTATAGGTAATAATTAATGTGAATTTGGGTAGAATATTTTATGGTAGTAGGTTTTAAGTATTCCGTAAGTTTATGGAATTAAAAGTATGGGTTTAAACGTATGCGCTTAGGAATTTGAGATTAACTACACAAGAACATCTTGACTTTGAAAATTCTTTATAAATTTTCTTTATAAACTGTTAAATATAGCAATAAGAAATAACATTACAAATAGAATCACGTGGAACTAATGATTTCTCCATTACTTCTAGAACGCATTTACTGGAACATTGTTGTAATTCTAAAATATTTCTAAGAAGTAAATCCTTTGTGAAAAACTTTATATATTTGTAACAAAAAATTTTTCACATTATTCCTATGAAAATAATTTTTAAATTGTTTAAAAATCTGCTGTAGTTGCTGAGATATCATCTCTTGAGTTAGACGGACGGACAGGCATACAACATTTGATACATAAAGCGCTGCTCAATCCAAGTATAACATGGTGTCAGGGTTTCGACTTTTAAAAATTTTGTTTGTCTGTGCCACTATTTAACCAATCGATTTTCGGTATGGGTTCCCATTACCCGTCCAAAGTTACTTCTAGGCAATTATTAACAAGACCCACCCAAACAAAATCGATATTTTTTGGGCAACTGTAATGTACCGCTGCTTAAAAAAATAGGAGTGAGACTTCAAAATAATTGTGCAGCTTATTAAAAAAACATTTACGAAAATCCAGTATTTATACCCTACACCACTTTAGTGGGGAGGGTATATTGGGTTTGTGCTGATGTTTGTAACAAACAATAATATTGGTCCTATTATGCCCACCTTAAAGTATACCAGTATAATTTTCTGAGTCGATTTAGCTATGTCCGTCCGTCTGTTCGTCCATGTAAACCTTGTAATTAAACTACAGGTCGCAATTTTGAAGATAATTCAATGAAATTTATTACATGATCTTCTATTGTCACAGGGACGAAGCCTATTTAAAATGGTTAAGATCGGTCCATTATTTCACCTAGACCCATACAACTGAACCTCCGAATAGGGCTTGTAAACCTTGTAATCAAACTACATGTCGCAATTTGAACCCGTCAAATAAGGCTCTGAAGTTCATAATTATGTTTAATATACTCGTATCTCGACAAAAAGCTGCAAAACCAAGTTCTATAATTATAGGGTCTCATTTGGCCATAGCCCCTATACAAAGCCCCCTTCAAAATTTGACTTAGTTAGTTTGAAAGGAGGATGTATATATGTACATCAAATCCGAAGAAATAAACTTAGGCCCCTATCGGGCCTGTTGTGCGCTCCTTAACCAATGCCTCTGGTGGGAATCGAACACACCACCTCCGGTCTACCAGACTAGAACACTAACCACTAAACTACCGGAGGCTTGACTTAAATGTCTTGACAATAATAATGGCAATAATGTTTTTAAATGCAAATGAATTCAGAAAATATATTGGAAGTTGATTTATCGAAAAATAAAGTAGTATAATAGTAGAAGTCGTATAATAGGAATGATTAATGATGGGTCTTGACAAAAAGCGTATGGAATAATAAATTGTCGAATGGAATCGTAAACCAAAAGTTGTAGGTAAACATATTACCCCAAGATATGTTTTCATATTTTCAACAAACAACTCTGATAAAAGTGGCTGCGTAGTCGTATGAAAACATTATTGATTCCATAATGGTGGAAGCTCGTTCCATAGGAAGTAGGCAATGACATTGTTGTCGACTTACTGATTATAGAACAAATCATTTAAAGTCCTTCCGTATAACGTCTTTTAACGGTTTCTGAATAAATTACCGCATATGTGTGGATAATCGACCACGAATTACGTCATCAAGTCCCTCAAAGACGTTGTCGGAAAGACATTAAGTTCTCGAAGCTCAGATTAGCCCAAATTATATACACTAATAAATAATAAGGGGTTTCATCTAAACGTTCAAAACCCTCGTAAACTGTGCAACCTGTGCATGTTTCCATTCTCGCAACTGAATTGTATAGAAATTGATTTGCACAGCCCTTATAAGTTTGAGCGACTATTTAGACTGGCAAACTTGAGCAAACTCATCGTGCATTTAATAAATCCCTTCACTATTGTTTACTTTTGAATTTATGGACTTGAATATTCACATTTTAAACATATTTTGTACAATTTGTTGTTAAAATAATTCATTTTTTATTTTTCGATTTCGTTTGATATTGTTTAAAAATATTTATAAATATTGTAATTGAACAGAATTTGAACAGGTCGAATAAACTTGCGCACTTTCACAAATGCGAAACTTAAACGTTTAAATGAAAACCCTTAGTATTTTAGATAAAAGTATTTTCTTTTTTGTTTTATTTTTAAAATTATTTGAACTTAAATCAAAAATGTCTTAAAAATGTATAATAACGATTACAAAAATTAGAGAACATATGTATTAAAGAAATAAATTAACCGCCTGACTTTATAAAACGAAACTTTCGTTAACGTAAAAAATTTGTATGAAAAATACTGGGATATTTTTGAAAATTTAAATTTTTTCCATAAATTTTTTTTTTAAACGTTTGTCGTTTCGTTTTATAAAATGAGACACTAAAAAAAATTAAAAATCTCAATTTTTCGCTAAAAAAGTTTATTTACCCCCTCATTTTATAAAACGAAACTTTTGTTAACGTAAAAAATTTGTATGAAGAATACTGGGAAATTTTTGAAAATTTGAGTTTTTTCATAAAATTTTTTTGAACGTTTGTCGTTTCGTTTTATAAAATGAGACCATTAAAATTTTCATTCCTATTACAATCGGATTTACCTATCTACCTATCTACCTATCTATCTATCTATCTATCTATCTATCTATCTATCTATCTATCTATCTATCTATCTATCTATCTATCTATCTATCTATCTATCTATCTATCTATCTATCTATCTATCTATATATATATATGTATCTGCCTATCTATCTATCTATCTATCTATCTATCTATCTATCTATCTTATCTATCTATCTATCTATCTATCTATCTATCTATCTATCTATCTATCTATCTATCTATCTATCTATCTATCTATCTATCTATCTATCTATCTATCTATCTATCTATCTATCTATCTATCTATCTATCTATCTATCTATCTATCTATCTATCTATCTATCTATCTATCTATCTATCTATCTATCTATCTATCTATCTATCTATCTATCTATCTATCTATCTATCTATCTATCTATCTATCTATCTATCTATCTATCTATCTATCTATCTATCTATCTATCTATCTATCTATCTATCTATCTATCTATCTATCTATCTATCTATCTATCTATCTATCTATCTATCTATCTATCTATCTATCTATCTATCTATCTATCTATCTATCTATCTATCTATCTATCTATCTATCTATCTATCTATCTATCTATCTATCTATCTATCTATCTATCTATCTATCTATCTATCTATCTATCTATCTATCTATCTATCTATCTATCTATCTATCTATCTATCTATCTATCTATCTATCTATCTATCTATCTATCTATCTATCTATCTATCTATCTATCTATCTATCTATCTATCTATCTATCTATCTATCTATCTATCTATCTGTCTGTCTGTCTGTCTGTCTGTCTGTCTGTCTGTCTGTCTGTCTGTCTGTCTATCTATCTATCTATCTATCTATCTATCTATCTATTTATCTATTTATCTATCTATCTATCTATCTATTTTAAACTAGACAACTTTGCTCATCCTAGTACTTTCACAAATGAATTTCATCTTGTTTCAGCAAGTTCACAATAACCATTATTAATGAAATGTTTGCAAGCTGACAGTACGTCTAAGAATTTAAAAGACTTTTGTTAGACATTATGGCGCCCGCTAATATCACAATTACTTTTCTAAAAAATGTCTTCTTTGCGATATCTCAGCAAAGACATGACATTTTCATCAGTTTGTCGCGAAAAAAAGTTAAAATGTAGTAAATAATTTTGATTTTGTAAATTTGACGATTGTACTATATTTGATATCTTCAAAACCTGATATGATGGAGTGGTACAACCCTAAAAGATAGATAAACTAAAATTCCCAATGAAGAAGTGCCTTTCAAAAGTTCTTATTAAAACCCTCGTAAACATCAAGGAAATGGAAAATTACTAGTATCTTTTCCAATTTCATAAAATGTTTAACCTTTCCAGTAAAATGCAATTTTTTCAGTTCGATTTTAAATTTTTTCTTTTATAAAACCAATTTTTCGTGGAAACTATTAGAGTTCACATCTCTATATTTATAAAACTCTAGTTTCCAAAATATATTTTATGTTTTATTTTTTTTGAACAATCAGAAAATATAATTAATTTTCCTTTTAAAATCTTTAGTTTCGATGGAATTTTATAAAAGTTATAGGCACGTGACCTTTTAAACATTAACTATGCTTTTTTAAACTAAATAGCAATCATTTCACTTATTATGTTTTTTATAAAAATAATGTTTAAAGCAGCAGTAGGGAATTTTTTAAACGAATTGTTTACAAACTGGGTCCTTGGAATTATTAGTACGTTTTTTTCTGGGATATTTCAGCGAAATTTTTTGGGAGAAAAAAACGAAATTTCTTAGAATTATTTTAAAAATTATTGGATATAATATAAACCTAAGGTAAACCTCTGTAAACATGGTAATAAAGTTAGTTTTCTTGAAGCGTGTGTTGTGAAATCGATCATAAATATTATTCAAATTTCATATTGAACACTAAAACCCAAAAAGGATTAAGGCTGGAAATATTTTAAAGTTTATGATCATTTTACGCGTAAATTAGGTAAAAATCAAGCATTTTAATTTTTTTTAATCCCACAATTTCACAGAAACTTAAATATTGACCTGTAAAAAAGAGATTAGCGCTTAGGTCAACTAATTACACGAACTTCTGTTTAAATTTAAAGGTAGAATTCAAGGAATTTATAAAGTTTATTAGAGAAAAGGAAAATTACCTGGATTAAGGCTAAGAGCTATTGAAGATGTACTCGAGGTATAAATAAGCAAACATTGAGGTTATGTAAATCATAAGTAAATTTGTTTCTGAACTACAAACAACAAAGAAATCACACAAATGTCTTCTACACCCGCAAAAAGTCTTAAACGTGAACGCACTGCTTCCATTAACTATTACTCCATACCTTATACAATTTTTATGTATAAAGAAGAATTAAGGAAAAAGGATAATGAATTTATGAGATTGTCCAAAGTGAAGTTATATCTCACCGACAACTTGATCTCCAATACCATACGCAATATCGGCCAATACGATGTAACCGAAGTGATGAATATCAATCAGCAAATGATGTTTAAAAAACGTCTGCATACTAAAATGCACAAGATACGTAAACTGGAGAAATTGGGCGTTAAGAATATCGATCCAAATTATATAAGTGATGAATTGTAAAGTTTATATTAATATTAGTTGTAATTATTAGTTTTAAGTGAACACTTTGTGATAACGAAAATTAATTAGATTAATTAAAATTACATTTATTTTGTAGTATTGAAATTCTATTGTTTTTATTTTTATAATTTTGTATTGTTAGGGGAGGTTTATTTTACAAACTACAGTAAACCTTGCATTTCGTTCATGAATTGTGTGTAGGCATCGTCTTTCGAGGCGGCATGATTCGACTCTTTGGGATGTGTGGGGGTTTCTTGAGCATAAGGTTTTGAACGATTGGGTTTGCGTGCATCATCACGTTTAACTCTTAAAGTGGAGGGTACAAAGCGTGTAACATCAGCGCTTAGATTTCTGTAAGATAAAACGGGAATTTGATTACAAAAATGTATAAAAAGCTTAGATCTAAAAAAGTCTACCTTATTTGTGGTTTAGCGGTAATTGTAGTTACACCCTTACTATCCTTGTTCTGTAGCTGTTGATTTTTGTGATGGGCCATTCGGGGAGGCATACCGGGTGGTGGTCCTGGTATACGTATACCCATGCGTGGCATACCAGGTCTGGGACCAGGTGGTGGTCCTGGTGGCATGCGTATACCGAAGGCATGCATGCCTGGTGGTCGGGGAGGTGGACGAAACATCATGGGTGGTGGTGCCAAACCTCCCATGGGTGGCACTGGTGGCCCTCCAACATGCATATGTGGTTGAGCCGGCATACTGGGTAAATTCATAGGCATGGGCATAGGTGCCGCTGTCAAGGGTGCAGGCTGCACCGGCACGGCCGCTATTTTATTCGTAGCAGAATCTTTCCTCTTTCTTCTAGATGAATCACTATCCTGTTCATCATCTGTATTATCTGAACTGTTAGAATCATCAGTTTTGTCCTCATCATCATTATCACCATCTTCTGCATCTGATGTTTTTGTTTTATTTTCTCCATCTTCTGCTGTATTGGCGGCACTGTCTCCCAATCTACCAGCGGCCACTTTCTTTTTGTGTACATTTTCCATTTCTTTCATAAAATCATCAATATTTTGTCCCGATATGGCCAGCATACGTTGCTGTAGGGAATTGGGTTTGGGCACAACTTTAGACTGTTTTGATTTTGGTACGTATTTTTAAGCACCACCTCATCGTCTTCGGCATCAGAGTCAAGATCGGGAAAATCTATAAGATCTGGTGGTGGTCCTACCGGTACTCCCAAGGTTTCTTTCTTTTTGCTATCATCCGTTTTTTCGGAAAGTTTTGAATACTGGTTGCGGAAAAAAGGAAATGCTTAAATTTTTAGGTTTTTTCTAGTTTTTTGATTTTGTTAAAAACTTTTTTTTTGAAAAAAGCTTTTGAAAATAAATTTAGTGATAGAATTTTTGCGAAAAAGCTTTTTGAGGGATATTATTTGCTTAAAAGCTTTTTGTATATAAAATGCAAATTTTATATAAAAAAATAGTATATATTCATTAAAAGTATTTTATTGGAAATTTTAGAAAAAGATTTTCTTAAAGAAGTTTTTAAAAAAGCTTTTGTGAAAAAACTTTCAAAAAGGTATTTGTAAAGAATATTTTGGTTAAAATTTTATAAAGATGTCTTTCTAGAGAAACTGTTAGTTAAAAAGCATTTTTAACTTTTTAAACAAGCATTTTGAAAAGCTTTTATAAAAAAAACTTAAAAAAAAGCTTTTTTAAAATAAACTTTTTGGAAAAAGCTTTAAATAATCTTTATGAAACTTTTAAAAAAGGCTTTTTGCGAAACCATTAGGAGATCTTTTATTTGAAAAGCTGTTTTGTAATTTTTTTATAAAAAACTTTTAAAAAAGAATTTTTAGGAAAATTTTTCATTCGCTGCAAAAAGTTTTTCATAAAAACTTTTATAAGGATTCTATTTTATGAAAAAGCTTTATGATTCTGTAAATTTAAATGAAAATTTAAAGAACTTCAAAAATACTGAAAAATTGACTTTCTCATGTAAACAACTTTAAAGATCTCATGATCATTATAACACTTACATTGTCATTGGTCTTTTTGAGAGCACCTGGAGGTGCTCCCGGAGCAAAGGGAGGCAAAGATAAAGCTGTGGGTGGTGGTGGTAAACGTTTGGGTGGAAATGAACTCGCAGATGAAGCCGTTGTTGTAGCTGGTGTTTGGGTACTCGAAGGCAAAGGAATCTCATCAATCTGTACACTTTGAGCATGTTTAACACTTTCATAATATTGTTGCTTTTTCAGACGTTTCTTTTCATATTCAACCTCTTTGCGTTTCAGCTCGGACCAGTGTTCAGGATCATCATTATGCTGTAGTAAAGAAAAATAATATGTTTTAAATGTTAACGTAAATAAAAACACACAAGCCACTTACATAAAGTCTCATAACACGATCAAAGGTTTCCTTTAATTTCTTGCGTTTATCTCTTAAAAACCTTTTCATTTAAAGGCGAAGGCTGCAAAACATTGTATTCTATAAGATAGTAAACAAAATAGTTTGATATTCTTTACGAAACGCCATTTGAAAAATCTTCCTACCCATTTCATCGATTTTTTCCATTTCCTCCAATATCTGGCTGGGATCTTTGTTTTTGAGCACAGCCGCTCTCACCATTTGACGCTGCTTTTTGTTCTTTTTCAACTCCTTCTTGCGGGCTTCCTTTCCTGTAAATAACAAACAACGCCATGAATACCTGCAAATGTTTAGTTTCTACTCCCTTAAGGGAAAATTCACTTTTTCTTTACTTACTCGCTTGATCTGTGGGATTCATGTATTTACCACTTTTAGTGGTATTTATAGATCTGCGCCCCATGTTTTGCTTGATTTATTTTCTACTTTTTGCACTTAAATATTTAATTTTTTACATGAAAATTGAAGAATTTGTATAAATTATACCAATTCGGCTAAAAAAAAATAATGTGTCAAATGTCAACTCTGTGTTTTCTTTTATTGTGATGGTATTATTGCGATAACTGAAATGATAATAGTAAACAGCTGTTGTTAGAGATGTGCTTATGAAGTAAGAAACGATTATTCTGCAAGCGCTGCTAAAAGCAAACTTCAAACACTTCAAACAAAAAAGTGTTTGATACAAAAAATACATTCCTGTTTGACAATCCAGAATATGATAGCACGTCAAACATATGTTTTTTTAAATGGTACATCAAACAAAATAAAATCGTTGAAAATTTAATAATTAAACTATTTGAGAACTTAGCCGGCTTAAAGTCGATTTTAAGCCGCCGCCGATAATTTTATTGTTAGCCGCCTTTAATATTTGCCGGCGCAGGGCTCTGACTCTTTCAGAAGAGAACCTTTTTACATTTTTGTTTTTATTCCTACATTCGCTGTTAAATTTCGAGCACGCGTTTAAGTATTAAATTATTTTTTAGATTTTGTAAAATATTTTTGTAAAAATTCTTAGCAAAATGACAACAAAAAACTTTACCAAACCCCGATTGTCCAAGGGCATATTGGAAATGAAGTTTATGCAGCGCACCAAGGCCAAAGTGGACAAAGAAATAGAGGCAGCCGAGGGTAGAGCCATGTACTCCAATGAGATTACGGAAAAAATGTTAAACAGCAATTCAAATTTCATAATTGAACCCAGTTTTGTGCATTGTGAAAATCTCATCGAGGGTCGCTTAAGTTTTCGTGGCATGAATCCCGAAATTGAACGTTTACTTGAGTTGGAACGTGCAGAAAAGGCGGCAGCTAAAAGGCAAGAACAAAGCACTGAGGTTTCCAATGATGATATGGTAAAGTTCTATCAAAACAAGACGGCCGGTGCGGCTCATACCATAGAAAAGAAATTTAACAAATTTAAAAAGATCAATCAAAATAAAAATAATAATAAAAGACACCTAGAGGATGAGCAAGCTGCCATAGCTGGCAGTGCGGGTAAAAAGAAGAAAGCCAAATTTATGAAACCTAAAACTAGTGACGATGAAGAAGAACAAAATAATTGATTTGTTTTTACTCTTAGATGTATAAGTAGTTATTAATTTTGTCTTTAGTTAATAAGAAAGAGAATACTTAACGCCCCCGCATATAATTTTGAAATATTTGTATTTTTTATTTTCTAGAAAATATAATATAATAAACATAATTAACAAGTTTTTAATTACAAAAATTGTGTGTAGGTATTTATTTACTTATATTTCAGTTTTCACTGCCTGCAAAGCATAAAACATATCTGTTGAATTGATCCAACGCCACGTATTACTCCAAAACTCGTAAGTGCTGCCATTGACAATGACTGTATGACATCCCACTAGTTGAAAAAAGAAGAATATTATAAGTAACTTTAAGATTATTTTTCATATTTTAAATTGGAAAGGAAATTCGAACAAATCCTTTAATTCTGCAGATTCTATCGGAATGAAACCACTTTCAATATTTAATATAGAATTGAAATTTGTTGATTTTTAACAAAGTAAATAATAAAAACTAATTTTTTGTTTAAATTTACAAAATCTTAAAAGAGAAAACGTTTGAAGTACTAACTGCGGAATGGCAAGTATTTCATTTGGAATCCAAATTTTGATTATAAAATCTTTAAAAACTTTTGTTTTAAAATTTTAATACTTTATTCTCTAAATTAATAAAAATAAACATAACTAAGCAACAAGTATTTTATCGAAAATCTTTAATATTATCTTATATTTCCGTTTTAACCGCTTGCAGAGCGTAACACATATCGGTTGTGTTTATCCAGCGCCAAGTATTACGCACAAAATCATAAGTACTGCCATTAACAACGACTGTCTGACAGCCCACTATAGAGAAAAAGAAAAATAAAACTTATATTTTTGTTAACAAACAGACATTTTTACACTCTATGGACAACACGAAAAAAATCGAACTATTTCTACTACAAACTCCTAATGATCTATCTGTACAATATGAAAATTTGATTTTTAAACATAAACACTTACTTGTATCCAAAATCCTCTGTACATCTAAAGGACTAATCATTTTATCCCAATGATGTGTGCCAACGGGAGCAATTTTTAAAATATATTCACCCAATAGAACACCACCCAACCACATGGGTATGGTTTTATTTAGAGTTGTAATAAATAAAGAACCTCCAGGCTAAAAATCACAAATATTTAATAAAACCATATACATATGTATGTATGTAGGTACACACATGCATATAAAGAATAATTTTACATTACCTTCAAACTCTGCACACATGACGTCAGTAAAGCAACTTTATCTTCAACATGTTCCAAAACCTCCGATACCACAACAGCATCATAATAATTCATTTTATCTTTAACATGAATATCTAGAGGTTCTATTTTATACTGTATATTATCGCATAATTTTGGATCGGCCACATGGGATAGATGTTCGCGTGCTACACGTATTAACTCATCACTCAAATCTATGCCGGTCATCTGAGCGCCTAAACGAGCTAATTGTTCGGTTAAAATTCCCCCGCCACAGCCTACTTCTAAAATTTGCTGATCCTTTAATACTTGGCAAGTGTTAACCAATTCGGGGGAGATATTGCCACGAGCTACTAGCCCATCACGTATGAAGGGTACTCTAAAAAATAAGGTATTTTCAATAACAAATTTAAACAAAATATTGTGAGCTAGTGTAAACTAGTTTCTGAAGCAATAGGCGTATTTAAAGTTCGGCTTAACAGGCCTATTGCTCCCTTACCTTATGGCATTTAAAGAATGTAAAGCTTTCATTGTCCCATTAAGATTCCACCAATCATTGGCATAATTGCCATGATGTTGCACTTCACGCTGTGTTTCATTATCAAATTTCTGTTGGTTAGATGTTTGTAAGTCGGTTAAAGGTTGTGTCTTTGCAACATGTTGGCCGGCTTCCGAGTGTTGCAATTTTGTTAAATATTGTACATGATTATTAGTACATACCAAAATTTGCCTTCTAGATAAAAAGAAGTTATGTTAAGATATTTTCTTTGTAGCCATATTAATTAATATATTAACCTCTGTTGTTTTATAACACCGGCAATTGTTTTAAAAATTTGTTGCGACATTTTTTCAAATAGAAATTGTAGTGTTATTTTGTTTTTTTTTTCTAGAGAACAGCGCTAGTCAAAATTAATACCGCCGATACATATAAACAGCTGTGTTTTGTTTATATGGGCCGTTGCTACACCAAAACAATAAATATTACAACAATATTAAACACTCCGGCAACTCTTTTTATTTTACATTTGTTTTTAAACGCACGTGTTGGTATTCATTAAAAAAACTTTAATTTTTGTGCAACTATTTTTTAAAAATATCTTAAAATTTATTAAATAAAAATGAAAACTTCCGTGAAGAAAACAATAAAACCTAAAAGCTTGTCTACAATTAAAAAGAAAAAGGTAGAAAATCCTGATATTAAAAGTAAAAAAGTCAAGAAACTTAAAAATGCTGTCGAGGAAAAAGAGGTGCTTGCAGAGCAAATCACAAAAGTGGACAAAAAGCTAAAGAAACACGATAAAGGGGAGAAAAAATTTAAAGCTAAGGAAGGTAAAAAATCAAAAGATATCTCGGATAAAACGTCCAAGAAAAAGAAGGGACACAAGCAGGATTTGGAGGGTTTAAAAGATATTGATCCAGAATTCTATGACTTTTTAAAGAAAAACGATAAACAATTGTTGGAATTTAATCTTTTGGATAGTGATGATGATGACGATGATGAGGCCAAAGAAGAGACAAAAGTAAATAAAAAAGATAAATCTAAAAAGACTAAAAAACAACAGGATTCAGATTCTGAGGAAGAAATGGATATGGATGAAGAAGACGAAGATGGTGATGATGACGATGATAAATATCATAAACCCTCTGGTGATCTTGAGGTGGCCAGTGACGAAAGTGATTACGAGGCAGAAGATGAGCCAAGCGTCGGACCTGATGGTACACAAAAAGTTACTTTGAATCTTTTGCGTCAATGGCAATTGCAATTGGAAAAGAATAATGTACCCATTGATACCGTACGCAAAGTTATACAAGCTTTTAGTTCAGCGTTGCTTAGTATTTCGCCAGATAGCGATCAAAATGTGCCCATGGCCTACAAAGTAGTAGGTTCTGCTGCTTTTAATGGCGTCATACAATTGTGTGTGTTGCATTTGCAGCCTGCTATTTTACGTTATCTCAATGTAACACCACGTTCTTCTATACCTCTGCATAAGACCAAAAAATGGAATAAAGTTAGGGGTTGTTTGCGTTATTATCTAACGGATTTGATACGTTTAGTGGAACAGGTGTCAAGCGCTAATATTTTGTCAGTGCTATTGAAACATCTTCACCAAATGGCTGGTATGGTGGCACCATTTTCTGCTCTGGGTAAGACTATTTTAAAAAGATTAATTGTCTTATGGTCAACGGGAGATGAAACTGTACGCGTTATTTCATTCTTGTGCATTTTGAAAATCACACGCAATCAACAGGTATTTACGTTTAAATATTCAAAGTTATTTTAAATCGTATAGCTGGGTTTATTTTCATTTTAGGCCACCATGTTGAATCATGTTCTGAAAGCCATGTATCTTTCTTACGTACGCAATTCGAAATTTGTTTCACCCAACACTTTACCGGCCATAAACTTTATGAGACGATCTTTGGTGGAAATGTTTGCTTTGGATTTGAATGTTACTTACCAACATGCTTTCTTGTACATTCGTCAATTGGCCATTCATCTGCGTAATGCTGTCATATTGAAGAAGAAAGACAGTTTCCAGGCTTGCTACAATTGGCAATACATCAATTCTTTGCGTTTGTGGTCAGATCTTTTGGGTACCACCTCTGATAAACCACAATTGCAGCCTTTGGTCTATCCCTTGGTTACTATTGCTTTTGGTGTTATACGTCTAATACCCACAGCTCAATATTTCCCCTTAAGATTCCATTGCATACAATCTCTTATCGATTTAGCCAAATCTACTCACACTTTTATACCAGTTTTACCTTTAATCTTGGAAGTATTAAAGAGCAACACATTTAATCGTAAGCATACAACTGTGTCCATGAAACCTATGCAGTTTACTTGCATTTTACGTCTAAACAAGGGTCAATTGGCTGAGAACGGTTTTAGAGATGAAGTTGTGGAACAGGTGTGTGGTTTGACATTGGAATATTTGGCTTACGAATCATCTTCATTGGCTTTCTGTGACTTGGCTGTGCATACTGTGATGGCTTTGAAGGCATATCTTAAGGAATGTCGCAATGCTAACTATTCACGTAAATTAAAGCAATTGGTGGACAAGATACACGAGAACTCTAAATTTATTGAGCAAGAGAGACGTAAAATTACCTTCGGTCTTAAGGACACGGCAGAAATTCAAGCCTGGGAGACAAAGGTTAAAAATAAGGGTACACCCTTGGACATTTACTACAATAGCTGGGTTAAGACGCACGAAACCAAAAAGAGACGTCAAGCCGCTCAAGCTGATGTCATTAATGATGATTATAATTTGCCAACAATTAAGAAATCATCTAAGAAAACTTCAGTTCCAGTTAAAAATGAAAATGGTGAAATTGAATTGTTCCCATCAGATTCGGAAGATGATGAAGTTAAGATTCCCGGAGCTGAGGATAGCGATGAGGAAATGTTAGAAGAGAAACCTAAAAAGAAATCGTCCACAAAGGAAAAGAAATCGAAAAAGAAAGCCAAGGTGACGGAAGAAATCGAATATGATGTGCCTGTTGAAGAACCTGTTGAGGGCGAGGAAGATGTGGATATTGTTAAAGATTTGGATTTAGATGACTGGTAAACAAAATAATCGTCAGTTTACAAAATCTTATTTTTGTAACATTTTTAATACGTAGTTAAGGAATATGAAATAAAATAAATACATATTTTAAAAGTAAATCAAAGCTTTTTTAAAAAAAATTCTTCATTTGAACAATTCTTTCTTACCGTGAACGTGATGATAATTACACAAACACTACAAACTTTTTTATAAAAGCGACAAGAACATTCGTAAATAAATGTGTTGTTTTTGTAAATTTGTATTTAATGTGTGTATTTAATAGACAGTCTAATCCGAGAGTAAGGAATGGATCGTTGAACTATTTATTTATAGAAAGTTTCGATTTTTATTTCAGATATTTAATTATCTAAATAATGCGCAGACATAAAAAGAAAAAATATTTATTTATTCACCATCACAATACAAAGCCTTTAAAACACTTTTAAGTTATTAAAAACATTACGTTTTTTAAATGAAATAAATCCAATATACTTTAAAATTTATTTAATTAAATATAACATTAAACATCTAACAATTTAATTAATATAAATTATCACGCACATTTTTATACTCTAAAAACTTTTTAAAATTTCTTCTCTGGATCCTTACTTGGAATAATTTCATATTCCTTGTATTTAGGAAAAGTTCCTATAGTCTCTTTCTCCGGAGCTACCAACTTGCCTTGATCATCCTTCTTGCCATACTTGGCATCCAATTCAGCGGCATTTCTTTTTTTCATGTCCATAATTTGTAAATTTCTTACCAGCTCTTCTTTAGTGGGAGGGTCATCTCTGCGTCCTCTAAGCCAAGCCTCCCATTCAGCGGTTAGTTCTTGATCAAAGGCTTCCTTATTGGCCGGTTCAAACCATCTAGAAGCTTTACGTTTGCCAATTGATGGATCTGCTGGTATTTCAAAATATTTATTGCCAAAATAATCCTCTCCAATGTAGTTGCCACGAATCTGCCGGGGTCTAAAAGATTTAAAGAAATTTTGGAATATTATCTTGATAATATCACGCTGCGGAGGTTTTGCCATTGCTTTATTTTTTAATATTTTTTAATTTGTGGAATTTTATTAAAATACAAAAATAATAGTGATGCACGTCGTAATATTGGTTATGTTTATGTTATGACATCTACAGCTGTTTACAGTAAACAATTTGTCAATGATGCCGGACTTTTTTGCATAGATAGTACCATTTAAAGATTACCGTTATTTTTCTACTTAAAAAATAATATAATTTCAGTTTGTTGTAGCGATATAATAATAAATAATTTTATGAATATACATATATTTATTAAATTTTTAAAAATACATTGATAACATGTAACACTAAATAAACTACAATTACTTAAATCGGTATTCACAAATCTGCTTTGCTATCTTTGTATCTATCCCTTCCTCATTCGCACGTTGAGAAGCAACAGTAACACACAGCTGCACAAAAACGTACATAAGAAATCTGCGCCAATTCGTTTTAAAAACGACCAAACCTAGCCGTCAAAGGAAATTAAAAACCGGCGTCGAACAGTTTTATTCCCTTCTTTATAAAATTATTAGAATCGTTTCGAAATTATATATAGCTTCTGTACAAATTTATTGTTAATAACTCCCCAAAGAATATATCAGTATTACCACAAATTTCTATATAAATCTACTATCAATAGATATCGTATTACCAACATAGATCGGTCCATAATTGCCCATAGCTCCGAAAATCAACTGTACAAACATAATTCATTAACAAATAACCATATCAGGACAAAATTTAAACACAAATACAGAAAGGAATTTTTCAGTGATATCTTTATCGCACCATAATTGGCCATAGCTTCCATATAAAACCTTCTTCTGGAAATCACTAAATTGAGAATAATTCAACATATCAGGATAAAATTTTATACGAATACGATCTATCGAATCGGTCTGCAATTTATTATTTAAGGTTTCAGTTTTATAAATTTATCAATTGCTCTTTAATAAAAAAAACTGCATAGCCGAATTAAGCACTTTTATTTATTTTTTATATTAAGTAATATTTAATACCGATTTTATAAAATGTTCTTTTAAAATCTCGCTTTTTAATCATTCGTTATTTACTTTTGTCGAAAAATACAAAATTGATAACTTAGCCGCTGTCGAAATTTAATGTGTCAGCCGCCGTCGTCTTATTTTTTGTTGCCGCAGATCTCTGTGCACAGGTTTTCATTTTTTTTTTAGCCGTAGCAGCAGAAAAAAATCACGAAGCCAGTTTTTTTTCTTCTTCAACTACTACTTATTTTACTCCTCCTCAACTTTTTTATAATACGACTGAAAAAATTATCAATTGCTCATAAATTTGACCAGAGCGAACAGGAAAAAAGAAAATTCATACGGAAAATGTTACATACAAATGTAATGCAATAAAAAAAGTAAAAAATCGTAAGAAAAGTATAAATTAATAAATATATTGTGTATAAGGCAAGGTCAGTACGGAAGAAATGGAAAAAACTAAAATGTTTTGTGCAAACTTAAACACGCGTATGGATGGTGGATCAGGGTGTTGCGCTTAGAATGTAAAAAATATAAAATTAATACAAATTAATAATCTTCCCCCGCGAACATACTACTATTTATATTTATTATAACTTATTACTACTTATTGCCTGCCTGCCAGTGCACAATACACATAATATAATTTTTTGTGTTTCTTTTGTTTAATAATTTTTAACGAGCAAAAAATAATATGAAAAAGAATACAACGTTAATGACTACGTGAGTGCAAAGTGAGTCCGGGTATTAAAAAGAAATTACTCTATACAAATTAAAAAAATATCTTTTTTAAAAGTATAAAAAAAGTAAGAAGGGTTAAAAAGGAAAAGAGAAATATAGAAAACGAAGAAGAAGGTGATTTAGAAGAAGAGATGATCAATGAGAAAAGGAGGATTTGATGTCAGAGAATTGTCAACAAGAAAATACAAGAGAAAAAACCACAAGAGTATCGTTAAAAAGGCAACAATAACAACAACAAAACAAATATTAACAGGAAACTTGTAGAGAAATTTTTTAAGTAACTACAACAATAAACAGTTTTCCTGTCAAATCATTTTACACCTACAATTTACATACATATACACAAACAGTAAGTATTTCTTTTCGTTTTGGCAAATTTACTCAAACCAAACACACTTAAAATGTAAAACCAAGCAAAAATCTAATTCAATTCATATTATTTTCTAGTGTATACTTCACCATTTCATTATTCTACTATGAGGCCTCAGCCTCCAGGGAGTGGACCAACCTTAGATGAAAATGCGGAAGAACTACGCAATGTAGAATGGTATTGGGGCAAAATCAGTCGAGAGGATGTTAAAAACATCCTAAGCGGCAAACCAGATGGTAGTTTTTTGGTACGTGATGCCCTGTCCAAAGAAGGAGAATACACTCTTACCCTCATAAAAGATGGCACGGAAAAATTAATAAAAATTTGCCATTTAAATGGAAAATATGGTTTTGTGGATTGCAAATTCAACTCGGTGGTGGAGTTAATCAACTACTATAAAGCGAATTCTTTGAAACTTTACAACAAAACTTTGGATATTACCCTAAGCAATCCCATTATACGTCCCATCGAAGAAGAAGAACTACAGCCCAATGCCGATTTACGCATAATGGCCGAACAGTTTCTGGTCATACACCACCGACTCAATAAACATCAACAGAGTTTGGATCAAAAGTTAAAGGTTTTTAAATCCATTGAAACCGAATTAAATGATAAAAAACTGCACCAGGAAGTATTTCTAAGGGCGGAGAAAATGTTTCAGTCCCAAATTAAACTATTGGAAACATTTATCAATAATCCACCGCAGGTCGGTACAAATACGAACCTCAATTCCTCTTCAACAACGAATACATTGTCATCGTCGTTAAACACTAACTCCTCTTCCGTTGCCGCCTCCGCCACAATAAATTCTCAAACAACCCGCCATTTGGAACAAGAACAGTTGCAGCTTAATGCTGCCGCTATGAAGGCTCATCTCAATGATCTCTGTGCTGAAATGAACAAGCTAAATCGTTATGTTGAAAATAAGAAAGAAGACTACAAAGCATTGGAACGACAAATTAATGCAGCTAAACCGGAACTACAAACTCTTAATATGAGAAAAGAGAAATATATTGAGTGAGTATTTAGTTAAATTATTTAAAAAGAAGGATTTATTGTAAACGTTCTAGTTGAACATTGTGTTATATGTAGTTAGCGTTTTAAGTATGTAATAATTTATTGTTATTGTGGGATAAAGGAGTATATTGAATGTTTTCTTTAGAAATTTCCTTTACAATTTTTAATTATTTTTAAAGGTAAAATGTAAATGCATGTGTTTGCATTTTTCTCAAATATTATTAAACGAAATTAAAAAAAATTGTATCCATTTTTGGCTACATTTTATTTCTATCCAACCAAAATATTGCGGGGGGTCAACAACCTGTTCGTCGCTATAAAAATTATATTTTGATGACGCCGTGTTGTTGCTTACTTTATAAAAAATCAAAAATTGAAATGTTTTAACCATAAAAAAATTAAATTATTTATATATAACCATCATTTCTTTAATTAAAGCCACTTTTTTGTTGCTTCTTTATTAATTTAAAGGCTTAAATACTTTTTATAATTTAAGAGGGATATTATTAAAAATGGAAAAGAGTGCTCATTATAGTAGAACAATATTAATAAAGAATGTTTTGTTCGAATATGCATCCATCTTATGATATTTTATTCGATCCCAAGAATGATTGGAAATTAAACTACTTTTCCAAATACATATCAAAAGTTTCTAATAATTTAGTCCCAAATTTAAAACTTTTATTATTTTTATTTGAACCATTACCATTTAATTTAAAGATACTTAAGCAATATAATGTTTAAATTTAAACGTGTACACTTTTTTTTTCTTAGATATGCTTATTAATTCATAAGTACAAAAAAACTATGCATGTGCAAATATTGATATAAATTTATCACAGCATTAGTTCATTATAAAAGCCACACTTTTTTCACATGTGCGTCATTTGTGTATTTATATATTTCATTAAATCATTAACATTAACATTTAAATACCTGTTAACAGATGTGCTAACAGATTGCAATTTATTTTAAAATGTTTTTTAAGGGCTATACAAAGTTTTCCATCTTTAGGAGAAGTTTTTATGTTTGTTCATGAAGGTGAAATAATCAAACGAGGGCAAAGACAACTAGCTAACAGTGACTATTGCCTAGCACTAACTTTACTTAACCGCTAAGCAATTATTTAAAATAATTCAAACATTCTTAAGCTTTAAAGCATACTTTTCTTAAAACAAAATTATAAAAGAAAACTTAAAATAAATATTTTCTATGAAAAATACGAATTAATAAAAAAAAACTTTCCTTTGAGCTCTTTAAATTTACTATTTAAACAAATCTTATCATATTGTAAATTTTGCAAAACTTTGTATTTAACTCTTGAAATACAATTTAACAAATTAATACTGCACTTTTTCTA